ACAGACCACCCTGTCTATAGCGACCACCCAAGACAACGTTTTAAAAACATATCCGCACTCGGGTAAAACCCGGGCGTTGCCCGGGCCATTCGTCTAGTATATATATATTGAAAATAGAGCAATCCATATTGGCAAATAAATATTTCATTCAATCCAATAAATGCCATTTTTTATCTAATATACATATATATAATATTTAACCTTATTTAACCATATATGGTCATTGTAATAAAGTAATTTAAATCTCAATATCTTTCTCTCTCTGGAGCTTTTTCGGGCTCTCTAATGAAATCTAAGACAATAGAATAGATATAGCATTACCATATATCTAAAAATGAAATAAGATTTCTAAAAACCTAAGGTTATATATAAAATAGTCTATTTATAAATGAGAGCTAAAAATGAAGAAGTAGAAAGAATAATTGATGAATGAAACAATACTAACAATACTATTTAGAGCGGAGAGAGAGAATAATACAACCAAAAAAGAAGCTTACAGCTATTATATTAAAAAAAGGCAATCAATGTGTGTTTTTAAACCAATACAAAACTAACACAGGAGTCAACAATTACCGTACTAAAGAATGAAGTAAGTAGGTTCAATAACAAACAGGTTACAATGATGGCTTTGATCCAAGCCGTTGTTTTCTACCAGCGCCACAATGGCATACAGAAGACAAATGGAATGATTTGACCTGCTGCCAGTTATCTCCGATAGAGTTGTCGAATTAGAAAAGAGGCATTAATCAAATACAGTTGAACTTCGATAATTTAAAGACAAAGGAATAAAAAAAAAATCGAATTACCCAAAATTTCGAATTAGAAACGAAAATTCTATTTATAGGGATTTCTAGGGACCAAGATAAATATTCGAATTAAAGATTTTTTCGAATTATCCAAGTTTTACTGTACCTCTATTCCTTGCTTTTCCGGAATGCCTCTTAGACCATCTTTTTTATTTGAGGTACAGCCTGGATGACGAGGGCCAACAGGCTGAAACGTTTACGTGACTGGCTTTTCTTGATTTGTCAAGAAAGGACATTTGTTCAATATTCTGAAATTAAAAAAAAAGAAAGCAACGATTGGTTTATATCTATTTACGATATATGGTGTAAGCCATATGCAACTTTTAGTTGCATACTCAGGAGATGCCTTTATGTAAATATGTTAGCATTTGACCTTAAAATTTGTGCTATTATTGCCGTAATTATGTTATAGCTTGACACCGGCTTTTCTCGGGTTCTGCCCGAGTGAACGTTCCCACAACTTCTATATTGTTTTAACAACAGTGTGTTATTACTAGTAGTAAATTTTACATATTTTGTCTCTTTAATGTTTATTATTGAATATACTATCAAAACTATATCCGTATATCTTATTGCGATGATTGAAAATGCTAGATAAGTGTGTTTGGCTCATCAATGGTGAACCATCTCAGATGTTTCGACAAATTGAAAACCGCTGAGAGGATTCAACACTGTTGAGTCAAACCTTCCCAGCTTACAATTTTCTATCATCACAGTAAGGTCTGCAGAGGTATTTTTAATGATTTTTACAGAAAAATAAGTGTTGATATTATTATATTTTCGATATATGACAAATATAGTATTCGTAGTATTGGTAATAGTAGTGATAGGAATTCACTAATATACAATAGTATTTTATGAATGGGTTATATATTTACGATTTATCTATAAAAAAAACTTCTATTTTCTTGTTTAGAAACTATAATTTCTTCTAAACCTCTAACTTCACATTGTGTCAAAATTCCATCCAAGATAGCTCAAATATTGGGATACGTATATGGAACACATACCGAATTTAAAATACATAAATGTCATAATATATGCTCTTCTAGGATTAATAAAACAAACCAACAGCCAACGAGAGAGAAATGGGCAGCTAAAGCGAGACACTTAAGACAACTAACTTACGACCATTTTTGGCCACCTGGCGACTATCCTGGTTAGCCCCCCGGTTGTGTACACAGGGAAAACAGTCGTTCAGCTGATAACGTCTCGCTCGCTCTCTCTCGGCTGGCTGCCTGGATGATTGCTCTAACAACTCGTCGTGTGATTATTTCTCTCCTCAACACATTTACCACTATATTGCCATATATATAGTTTCTTTTTTTGTATATTTAATTATTAAATTTAAAACTTTTTGATATTGATGCTTCTTTTTCGATTAAACAATCAAACATTTCTTCTGAAAACACAATTGAAAGAAAGGAAATTTAGATGAGACGGCTTAGTTCACTAGTTCTGAAGTTTCTGAAGTAGTTTTTGACAGAGATGTGCCCTTTTATCTATTTTTTCTTTTAACGCAGTAAGTTTTAAAGGTTCATACGAAAAAATAAGCATTAATAAGCATTCAATGTTGAATAAAATGTAACATGCGGCTCGCGGATGTGAAGCTGCGGCTCTTAGTAGTTCCATACGCAAATTTCCACATAGGATATAGCGTGTGTTTTGTAATAAATAAATAAAATAAATCCCACTTCAGTTTGATACGATTTTATTCCTATTGAGGCTGAACCCTTAGTCTAGGGGTCGGCAAACTGCAGCTCGCGAGCCACATGCGGCTCTTTGGATGTGAAGCTGCGGTTCTTTATATAGTTCCCTTTATTGTTGGCAAGAAAAAATTTGTCGCCCTTGAAAACCTACAAATTTTGTAAATTGTAAATTTTGACTCTTCCGACTCAATAGCTTGCCGATCCCTGCTCTAACTATTAGTTCCTGTGGTTATCAGCAGGTCAAGAGACTGGCTGGACCACCGAGATGGATGACCTTGGAATCAAAGATGGCGCTTGATTATGATGAATAGCATAATTATTCTTCAATACAATTGTGCCAGAATTTTAAACTAAACAAATAAACTAAACCCTTTTTTTAGTTTTGTTTGAAGAGCTGACGTGACTTGAAGAAGAATATGTAAATATATGCTAAAAAGATGAAAATGAGGATAGGAAGGTTATGCATTTAAGATGATGAAAAGACAGTTCCTGATTGCTCAAATAAGCGTTTTAAAGATAACAGAGCACCACCTATCGGAATAAATATCAACTAAACGTTGATTTTAGTTAATATTGAGTATTGGCCAATTACCGTTTCTTAATTCATAAAAAAAAAAAGCTAAAAAGTCACGGTTTTTATTGGGGTATTAATTTACGTGATTGGATTTTCTTAGTAAAAATATCGACCTTTTAGCTTTTAAGTGTAATTATAAATATAATAATTATAAATACAAGTCAATGAAGCATAAAATGGACCGGTGTAAGTATGTGTAAACCTAAACTATTATATATATAATATATATATATAAATAAATAGTTGTTTAGTTTATAGTTTAGTTTTGTATTAAAATTATCTTTATTATTTTGATTATTTAAATTCAAATTATAAAATTTGTAAATTGTTATTATTTAGTAGAGAGAGAGAGAAAAAAAGAAGTAAAGGATTTTTTTTTCTCTCTCTCTCTCTACTAAATAATAACAATTGAAGTAAAGACCGTCTTTTTCAATAACAGCCAGCCATCTTTTTGCCAAGTTTTCAATTTGCTGACGATACCATTATCGGGGTTTGGAGTCAAAAAAGTCACGGCAGGCAATTTCGACGTCTTGGAATTTTTCGAAGTGTCTTCCCCTTAGAAATGTAGCCATGGACCGAAATAATGCATAATCAAATGGTGCAATATCCGGGTTATAAGCAGGGTAAGGTAGAACTTGAATACTCTTCAAATACCTTGTTCTATACATTATTAACCTAGCTCGATGAGCTGGAGCATTGCCATGTTTCAGGAGTACTCTTTTTCGGTTGATCAAAACAGGGTATCGAGTCTTCAAGACTTCATATACTCAGCTGAGTTGTTCTGCACATCAGGAACAAGTTCGTAGTGTACAATACCGTCGATGTTACACCATACAGAAAACATCACTTCATGGCCAAAGCGATCCTGTTTAACTACAGGTTTAGCCTCTTGACCACAGGGTACCCATTGTCTTCTTATGTCAGGGTTACGAAAATAGATCCAATTTTTATATTCAGTTACAATACGCTTCCAAAACCGAAGATCATACGGATTTTCTAACAATCGGTTACAGATATCGACTCGCCCCTGGGACTGAGCTATAGTCAGGTCGTGGGGATTTTGTCTTGGGCGTTTGCTAACAAAGTGCAGCTTGTGAAGAGTTGATCATATCTTTGAATGGTCCAAGTCTGACAGACATTTCACCCGTAGATTTTTATGGGTTGTCCATCAATAGAAATCTTAGGGTCTCAATATCCGTCACATGCGGTCGTCCCATTCGAGGTTTGTCCTCAAGGCTGATGTCTCCTTCTCTAAATCTCTTTAATCATTTTGAAGCTGGTATTCTATTGAATATTCATTTCTCTTCCACATCGAATATTTCTTTTGCCGCCATATTTGTATTTAGCCCTTTATTTCCAAAAGAAGCGCAATAGTACTCGTG